TCTTACCTAGAACGGTGATTGAGGGTTTTCTCTGAGCCATCTCATTAAAAATAATTAGAAATTAAAATAATAAAATTAGCTATCAGAAACCAAATGGATCTGAGCCATGTAACTGTTCCATGAAGAGATTGTTAAATAGATTTTCACTTTGCTTCCAAGGAGACGGAGCCTTTTTTTGTCTGCCTTTGCCTTGGTCATATAATTGTAACGCAAACACACTAGTTAGATGAAACAGTGAAGTTAACGACAGGAACAAAAATGCTTTTCTGGAAGCTTTTAGGAAAGCCTTCATAGCTTGTTGTTTTATTTACTAAGTTTTATTTGCCTGCTGCCTGCTGCCTTTTCTGTAAGGTGCCTGCGGGGAGGGCACGGCTACATCGTGATTACATTTACCAGTGCTGCTGCTTAGACATAAAACTTACTGTGAAAAATGTAGTGCCTTTTCCGCCTTTCCTAAAGGGTGTTCAGTTTGGCATGGTTGGACTTCCATGACTACTCTGATGTGCCCGGGAACTTCAAGAACAACTTGCTTTTTGTTGAGAAAGTTAGAGCAAATAGGCGTAGAGCAAACAGACCATGGTTGGGCGTGTCGCTTGTCCCTGCGCTTCCCGCAGAGCGGGGGTTCCTTCCATCGGTAAGGCAAGAGAGACGGCCTCCGTCTGCGCGGTGTTCCTGCGGCTGCTCGCCGGCTGCGGTCTCGTGGGGCGCAGGGCCCCTTCTCAAAGAAACTGTGTGATGGAAAGAAACCAGCCTGTCTTAGCAACCGCAGTCATTTTAATAAGAATTTGTATTGTTAGTTAGGTGCGTGTAAGTATGTTGGTAATAATCTGCAGTGTGAAATTGGAATAGTTAAAATACCTAACAGATCTATGCTGGGGCCCGCCATCGGACATGGGGCACTTCAAAGCAAAAGAAACAGGAAAGCGAGGCCTCATGTAAATACTTTGTTTGTAAGTCACCTTTGGTGCTGCAATTATCTATGCCTGTTTATATTAAATAAAGGAATCTGTTACTGCTGAAATAATGTCTGTTGGGGAATGTGTAAGTAAAACTTGAGGACAAACTGAGCCCTGTCTTGTAATATAGCTGAGGAGCGTTTTCTGTAAACACTCATAAGCAAATAAAGGTATGTTTCAAAAATGCTGAAATTACATTTCTCTGCTGTTCCTGCTGTGGAATAGTGTCCCAGGATCTACCTTCCCTGCTAGTCAGAAAAAACACAATCCAAAAGTTTGGGCTGGAAACGTACTTTTTAAATTTGTGGGCAGCATGAAGCCATTTCTCCTTTGCACTCATTGTTCACTGTGCTGGTATTGCTCTTTAGTTTAAGTAACTCGTTTTTCCTCCTTGATATTTACCCAAGTGTATTTATAGAGAGCTTTCATTTTCCTAGACTGAATAATTCAAGCCTCTGTCATCATTATAGGATGGACTCTCCATCCTCCTGATGAAGGGAATACCATTTCTGTGCACCTAACGGTCTAAACATGTTCTTCGTCATGTATGCGGTATTTCCTACGAGGGCTGGCTGGTGCCTGGTGATACAACACGGTGCTTGAGCTTATTGTGTCTTGAGGGCTTATTGCTGCTGTTTGTTGATTGTATTTTGCAAGGAAAAGAAGTACTACCCATGCATTTACAACATGTAACTTGTCTTTAAGGTTTTTAATTAAAATTATTGTCTCCCTTTGGATTGGGAATTTGTATAAAACTACAATTTAACATTTATCTGCTCAGTGTAGGGTGATGGATGTGTGAGTCAATAAGGCTGTGGCATTATTAGGTTCGGCCTTTGCAAAGGGGCGGGAGGACTGCTTTTTAAGGCATTTCAAAAAGCGGTCTGATACTTGGCTAGTAGTGACATGGTTGAAATTATATGAAGTAATCTGTAAACTCTTATCTATGCAATAAAACTCCCAAGTTTTCTCAGAAATGTTGATGCTGTGAGGGTAACCCACAACATTTCTACTAGACATCCTGTTCATTTTTTTTCTCCCCTAGCTATAGAAATAGTTTTGGCTATTGTTCTTTTGTTAATTGAAGTTTATCTCATGATAAATTTTATTGCATCACCTGCTCACACTTGCAATAAATCCTCTGCAAATTGCTGAACTTAACTGCATAGTGTGCCTTTTCTCTGACACTATATCCAGATTTCAGCGCTGAACGTTGATTTTAAACGTACCGTATAACTGCTTTGATTATAATTCTGGAAATCCTGATGTGTTTGATGGAAAACCAATCCTGTGAAAGGCTGATAACATGCGATTGACCTGTAATTTTGATAATTTGCTTACTGAAGAATAAAACTAGAGGTTGCTCTGATTTGGCTGAACTTTTCATTGAGACAGCTAGCATTGAGATGCTTGGAAAATGTCATCATGGAAACATAGATGATAGGGAAAAAACTCATTCAGTTTTCAAAAAAATCACAATTACTCTTTTGGTAAGGCATAGGCAACTTTTAGAATTAAAAATTGTCCCTGCTTTGGCTTTCTTTTTGCTTGTGTGAGCAGTGATCGCTGTTCAGTGGTGAATAGCAGGGACCACTCATGAAAAAAAATTCTCTGTAAGAGTTTGTATCGGTGAGCTTCGTTGCCCTGACAAAGAGTTTGTTGAAGGGTCGTTCAGTTAGCCGAATCCTAAAGGCCTAGAAAATCATGCCACGTGTCTCTGGAAAAGGCTAGAGTTGTATATGTTATGGCCCTGTTACTTTTATAGCATCCAGTGAGCAAAGATGATCCTTATTTCATGTAGATACGCAAACGTCGCTTATCTTCTCGTGGGATATGCTCATAGGAAACCACAATGAAATGAAAGGTGAAGTTTTTCAGATGACCTCTTGGCTCTGTTAATGCCTTCAAAACAAAAAACTTGAAAATTACCAACAGCAAATACGCAATTTTTATGTATCAAACTAGAGCATATAAGAAAAAAAGGAATAAATACTGAGAATTTATTAGTATTAGTCATCATTAGTATTAATTTGGATGCTGTTCAGGCTGTTTGTAAATACTAACAGGCTCACGGAACGCTGTGCTATCAGTCCTTACCCTGGTGTTCAGAAGTTTGGTCTTGCAGTTGAACTTGTCAGCTGAATAGCAGAGCTCTTGCTAGAGGAAATCACTGTGCCACGGAGGTGTCCTTTAGAGGCTTCACCTAAATGGAGATCTGAATAAATGCTTCACTATTTTGTTTTTCCTTCATTGGTCTGGTCTGTGCTGGAGTAATGACAGTCTGTAATTAGCTGCTGCACAGTTTTTCTGAAGTCGATGGATGTGTAATTTTTACCATAAGCTCAGAAATAGCTTTTTACTTCGGCTTACTCTTGTGTTTATTTTGCAGATTATTTTCTGTTGGGATTTTTGTGTAAAGTTTTTAGACCCCTCAAAAAAAAACAAAACCCCCAAAACCCAACCAAACAAAAAACACCAAAAAACCAAACAAACAAAAACCCCCAACCAACCAACAGTGATACTGCAGCGTTTCTTTCCTTGGCTAGAAGCCCGTTCAAGCTGTCATTTCTTTTTACAAGGACTTTTTACAAGGGCCTGTAGCGACAGGACAAGGGGCAATGGCTTTAAATGGAAAAAGGGCAGATTTTGATTAGCTCTAAGGAAGAAATTCTGCCCTACGAGGGTGGTGAGGCACTGGAGCAGGTTGCCCAGAGAAGGTGTGGATGCCCCATCCCTGGCAGAGTTCAAGGCCAGGCTGGACGGGGCTCTGAGCAGCCTGTCTAGTGGAAGGTGTCACTGCCCATGGCAGGGGGGTTGGGCTAGACGATCTGTAAGGTTCCTTCCATCCCAAACCACTCTCTGATTCTTAGAAAATGGGTGTAGGGTGTAGCCATCCACGTTGCTGACACAGCCGGGGCCGTGTCAGGAGGATCGGAGGAACGTCTAAATGTCTTTAAAAGTGTGGACTGCAATCTCGTATACAGTTCTCCCTGGTGAAATGGGAAAGAGAACGCTTGTCTTCTATCACGCTGTTTTAGTGGTACTGTGTGGCGCTCTGAAAATGAAAAGTGCTTGTAAACTTTCATTTCTGTATGCTTTAAAGAGGTAATATTTTTCTTCTATTTAATGTAGAAAAACAAATTGTTCACTAAGTACAGTCATTACATGTCGTATACATGCTTTTATATATTTTAAGACTACACCTATGCATTTGCTAGCTCTGCATGTACTGCTTTATGTCTTTGAATCTATCTTTTGAGTAAACCAACAAAATCTTACTTATTTTCTTTCGTTATTCTGCTGTGCTTCCATTGATGACTCTAAACTTTTGACTCCAGACTGGCAATATGAGGGTAAGATGGTGAAATGTAACTTCCTGAACATTGCTCGTCTGTTTTTAATTTTTATTTTCCTTAGAGCGTTATTAAAATTCTGTTCACTCTCTTTAATTAATCCTTTTGTTGCAATTAAATTCAAATTATGCTTGTTTCTGTTGTGAAGCTTTAATTACAATTTATACCTTTTAATCATTACTTTCTTATTTCTTTGGGTTAAATTACCATCGTATTATTTCTGTCCGGAAGGACTTTTGCTTCACTGAGATCCCTGGTGGTATCTCTATAGAGCTTTTATAGCATAGCCGTCAAACTGTATCGTGGTGGTACGTGGCGACGGTTCAGCGTGTGTGTGTTTGTGGTGTGGAAAGGAAGGCGCGCATAAGAGATAACGGAACAAGCTTTGCTAAGTTTTTGCTGTTTAAATGTTTGTTTTAAATACGGATCAGCATCTGAGATGTTAAATCCTTTGTCAACAGATTCTCCCTTGCTTCATAAAGTTTATCTGAGTAAGGGATAAGCAAACAGCTCAGCTTTTGATCCTCTGTGAGTGTAACTTAGCTACCAGTTGTAGCTCGTGCGTACATCGTATTTAAGTGAATACTTGTCTTCAGTCCGCTGATTATGCTGACTTGTTTTAAAAACAGCAACAAAACTCCTAAGATTATTCTTCTGGGATTGGAAATAACTTCTCTTTTCATCTTTATAGATTGCAAATTGGCCAGAACAGGTCCTCCAGCCACAATAGTTCCTATTGATGAAGAAAGTCGGAACGGTGAGTGCACCCCGGTTTTCCGCGCCACCCCTTCGGTTACCCCACGTTAGCTGATCAGGGTGTCGAGAGGCACGCGTGGGGGAGTGGCGTGTCCGTGTCTGGCTCGGCAGTGAGGACCCCCGTGCGCGGGCTTTGAGGCCTCTTCTCTGAAAAGCTGTGAAACGGGGATTGCGGGTGGAAAGGTGACACTGATCCTAAATGCTGAGAGGTTTTATTTCTTCCTGAAAATTTTACGTTTTGATGGCTTTGTTTTTTGACTCCAGACAGCTCTTGTGAATATGCTTTTCGTTTTGACGAGTATTTAGACCACAATTACCTGTAGCATGAGAGTAGTTGAGCTCCCTCGTTGCTAATATGCCAGCTGATTTTTACTGTCTAACTTCTTATGTCAGTATTGATGTTACCAGAGGACAAAGTTCAAGCCAGGTGGTTAGGTAAAGCTGAAACCTTCTTTCTCTGAAGTCTGATGAGACTATTATTAACATGGCTGTCTTCTGGATTTCACATGCTCTAAGTTTAATAACATGAGTTTATGAACACCTGAAATGGCAGAACTTGCTTGCATGTAGTCATGGAAACTTCAAAAGAAAAGCAATGCCTTTTTTTTTGTTGTTCTCCTGGTAAATCATGCAGCTCTCCAATTGTTGATCTATAGTCTCAGCATTGCGCTTATGCGGCATACTGTAACGTGATGAAGTGCCTTACCCCATTTACGGTCAGCGCTTTGTACGGGTGGCTGTTACTCCTGGTGGTTACTACTCTTTCCTGGTTGTTATTCTGTGATTTTTAAAATATTTTTTTAAACCTTGTAAGCTCGGCACAGTTGTGTGCTGCATGTGGTTATGATTTCATATGCGGGTGCTTGGAACGGTGAAGAAAGTCCAAGTCATGCTGGTGAACTGGCGAAACCTCTCTGCTGTTATTGGGAGAACTGCTTGCTGTTGGAATTGCTCAAGGTCAGTCAGACAAGAGTATGCAGGTTTTACTGGTAAGAGAACCAAAAAAACGGTTGTTAATACACCTGTGTGCTAGAGAACTTGGTACTGGAGTAACTTTTAAAAACCAGCTGTTTTCTTCCTCCTGTGCTGATTTTTCTTACAGCCATGTCTGCTGAAATGAAAAAAATGATGAATAGTCTCAGCAAAAGGAAATTCCCCTCGTCATCATGTCCATGTGCTGAGCAGGAGTGTTTTTTCTGTTTGTTTTCTTTTTGTCATGTAGCCCAAGTGCCATACAAGCAACATATACCTTGCAATATTAATTTAAGTAGAAAGCTGTATCATGTTTGTATCACGCTTGTATCAAGTGAAAAAAAGGTGTCTTTTTTTCCCTTTCAGGGTGTTTAAATGGTGTGTAATCACAACATCCATAATAGGTCTTACTCTTCAATAGCAGAACTTGTGTGTGTAATCTGTGCTGCACTATTAGTCAACTACTGTTAAAACAGTTTGGTATATATAGTACCCAAGTAGCTCTGGGGTCCAGAATGGTGGGTTTTTTCATGATGTTTTTTCAACGTGTGTGCTATAGAAGGAGTCTTGGGATTTGATGCTTATGAAAGAATTGTGGCTGTATCACCTTGTTGGGAGGGCATCAAGTATTCTTGGTTCTACTGCATAGGTAGTACTGGCATGTTTTATAGCACTTTATTCTTCCGTGCTAGGAGCGCTTGAGTTACTTACCTGGGGAACATGATGAGAACAACAGCCAAAACTAAGGCTAGACGCCGAGAGTAGAGCCATTTGAAATAAAAACAAAAATTTAGCGAAATAAAAATTTTTGCAGCAGAGTTGAATGACATAATAAAATTTATTTCTCTGCTTTTCAATGCTTGATTCAGTGTTTGCGAAGAACTAGAAAGTTAAAATTTCTGTTGAAATGTAACTGGTCCTGCAAGAAAAATGGTTGTGGAGTATGGTGGGGAGAGGTGTGAATTTGCTGAAAGCTTTGCATGTGTCTGCAATGATTTTAATTTATCTATTTTGCTATGAATTTGTATGAACCATTAACTTGCCATTAAAGAAGTCAAACTGGAAGTAGAAACTGCAGTTGGCATTGTAGTTAATGGAAGCGACACACCTCATCTGTAAGTCACAATATGTATTAAGTAAATGGATCTCCTGGGAAGCCAGTTCTTGAGTTGAAATGTCCTTAAACCTTTTGCTGTCTTTGAAATGGTAAGTCGTATCTTCCCCACAGCCACACATGACTGAAATTAAAGAAGGTGAAATTCCAGTGCAGTGTAGAGGCTCAGCGGTTGAGCCGATGCTACTACTCACATACTTCACACTAAATAATTGTTTTTCCCTGACTCTCGCTCTAAACCGAATGTAGATATTTTAAAATAGAAAAACAGTCACAGCAAAGGATGCGGAGCAGCTACCAGCACGTTTAGTTTTCCAGTTCTGTCTGTGCACCCTTCCAGAGGTCTTCAGGTTCAGGGCAAATGCTTTAGCTCGATAGAGTCAAATCTGGATCCGTGCCGAATGACGGGCATTGTTGCAACTGAATGTGGATGAGTACACGCCTGTGTGCGGATGTGCACGCACACATACGTACCGAGGAATTTCGGGGAATTGGAAGACTCGCTGGTCTGGTAGACCTTGGTTGCTTGGATGCTTCCTGCGTGCAACCGCACCTCTTTTTTAGCCTCTTTTTGTGGTCACATTCACATGCTTATGCAAGATGTGCGAAAGTAGTGTCTGGCTATGCAGTCAGTGTTGCAAAATATTAATATACTGTTGTTAGTTATGCTCTTGTAATAAGCCGATGTTTCGGTTCCAGGCAAGCCGCTGTTGTATCCTGATGGGTACGCTTCAATTTGTGAGACACTTTTTGTTTTGGCTACATTATCAATTTGTGCTCTTCAGTCAGCACTGCCCTCGGCCGATTTCCTTACATATTTTACACTACAGCTACAGCTTGAAATGACTAGTGAAAGAAGCAGACTGAGAGCTGATTCGTTACTGGTAGATGATGGGCCTCAATTAGATTTACAGAATGACCCCCGTTACAGTCAACAGAAGTGGTTTGATTACCAGAGCTCATCTTTTTGTAGCCTTTCATCCTTCCTATGCATTAAAAGACAAATCTGTAGGAATGGTGTAAGAGGTTATAAATAAGTTAAAGCAGTTCCACCACCAAAAAACCTTCGTGAAAACAGAGGATATAAAGGGTAATAAGGATGGTCAACTGAAGCAGTATGTCATGGTAAGAAAATGTTTTAAGAGCAGTTTTCAATACATTGGGAGCTTTGGTACAAGGATTGGACATAGCTGTGTTATAGAGTATGCAGCCTGAAAGTAAAAATCGTGGTTATTGATGCCAGGCTCAACGAGGTGAGTGTATTTACTGTGCGTGTGCATTCACTAGAATAGCTTATCAAAAATGATTTCAAATCGCTTTCCACTGAGTCTCCAAATTGGCAGTATGTAGTTGTTAAAAGTGATAGTGAAGCTGTAGCGGTAGAGATTTGGATGATACGCAGACTATATTTTATACAACATTTCTAATGGCCAAACAAACTTTGTCTTGGAATTGCCGATAGATGCACAGAAACAATCTGCCTGTTTTTGTTCTAATATATAGAAATATGTCTCTAGATCACTTAACCTGATTAGATTTCATGCTTTAATTCCTTGCTGTGCAGCTTTCAAAGGTCTGTTGTTGATGTTGGACTGTCTCTTCTAAGGTTTTAGAGTGAAGAACTGAAAACCGTAACTGAGTTAACCCCTCTGCGTGATACTTCATCCAGTGCACATACTCATCCAGTTCTGGCAACTGAATAAACAGAAAATCCTGCCCTTGGAAGTTTATCTTCAGTTTCACTTCTGTTGAATGTTGCTTCTTAGCATACTGAGCTTCACTCATGTCTAATTCACAAAAAGTCTGGAGACCAGCAAATCTTAGGGAATAAAACCATTTTACAAAATAACTTTTCATGGTCAAGACACACAGTTACCATGTCTGACCTTTAAAGATCTCCTTGAGAGATCAGCATAGATGTTAGGATTTGGCAGTTTCCCACCATTGGATTAATACATCTTTATATCCAGTAATTTAGGAAAAATAGTAAGTTAGATTATAGTTGTGTTCCTGTAAGGAATCCTAGATGGGGTGACCTTTACATTTGTAAAGGTAAAAATAAATTCTTTTTTCTTTTTTCCTACATTTAACTGAATGTGTGATAGTACTTGAGGTAGTGTTAATGGCGAAATGTAGTTCTTCTAGGTGTATGGGTTTATTTTTATAGGCAGAGAAATACTATTTTCACCTATGGAATTCTTTTTCATTACTGAATATGAGACCTGGCTTTAACTTGTTTTAAAGACTGACTAAATGAGACTTTTTCATACCTGAGACTTTTTCACTGCAACTGCACCCCAAGATTTTGCGGGCCTTCATGAAGAGCTGTCTGTACTTTTTTCCTTACGATGAGCATACTGAAATGCTAAAAGGCTTTGAATCTTTAAAAAGGGCTTTTAATGGAAAGTGGACTATTGGGAAAGGACTTCTAAAAGAGGCAAATTTGAGATCTGCTAGATATGACAGATTAAAATAGAATTTGGACTATTGTAAATATAAAAAAAAAAAAAAATCCCCCCCTGCCCTTATGGTGGTGTAGAGTGCTAATGAATAGTTGGACCATCTCCATCAATTACATGATCTTTCTCTCTTCTCCCTGCATAAATCTCTGTAATCCTCACTGGGGATGTTTGGTATTTATGGAAACACAGGTAAGTGTGGGAATGAGCTTTCATGGCTGTATGTGGGTTTGGTATTAGTTTTGTATCTTTTCATCTTCCTGGCATCTTGGCAGCAGCCTCTTGCCAGCCTTGGTTCCTGGGCAGGCAGAGGATGCATGGTCACTCTACAAACCCCACCAATTACTCCCTGCTGCGAGGGATTAATGGGAAGTAGGGCACAAATAACACAGGAAACGAGGCTGTGGTTCTTTTCCCCTGCTACTGTTGGACCAATTTATTGGCAGTTTAATTGTG